CTGCCGCTGTAGCCATCAGCGGCCGGCAGGTGGGCTCGACTTGCCCTATAGGGCGGTCTGTCGCTGCCGCCGGCGGCCAGTCGATGCGGCGGCTAGTGGTGGGGGGTGGCAAATGTAGCGGTGTCGGCGTCAACGCAGCCCTGCGGTGGGGCGGCTGCGGTGGTCGTGGGCGGCGATGGAGGCGCCTGCTGCGGCGCCAGCGTCAGGACGACGACGAGGATGTGCTGGGGCGCCGGAGCGGTGCGCTGGGGCGCTGGAGCGGTGCGCTGGGGCGCTGGAGCGGTGCCTTGGGCTGCCATGGTCTAGCCAAATGCACGAAGACAATTGCTTCGAGGAGACAAATGCATGAGTTACGAGGTGCACATACATCGTAGATCATCAATCCACCAATTACATCACATCAATTACATCACATCAATGCAATACATCAATCAACGCACTACTACAGCGATACACTACTACACTATTACATTGTTACATCGATTATTATTACACTAGTACCTCATTATATCGATTACTATTACACGATTACATTAAACTATTCATGCTCGAAGTGCTGACCTCGGCCGAACCCTCTCGGCGCCTGGGCCTCTAAAAAGAGTTGCCGGTCCCTGCCGGGGGGAAGGAGTGCAGCCACCATGCCCAGGCGTCGCCCTCGCCCGACGTTCTGCCAGCCCCAGTTCCAGCCGAGGTGGGGGGGTGGCTGGACTGGTAGCTGGTCCTGTGGGGTGTCGTCGGGCGGTTGTGGGGCGAGTGGCAGGTCCCCTCCCTCACCGAGGGGGTCCTCGTCCTGGCGGTTGGCCTCGCGCTCCGGTGTCGGGGGCCTGCCGGGTGGGGCGTCGTAGTGGACGTCCCAATCGTGGATTGGGACAAGCCCCGGCAGGTTGTCCCACTCCGCGTCGAGTGGGGCAAGCCCCGGCATGTCGGCCCATTCCGCGTCGATTGGGGCGAGCCCCGGCGGGCCATCACCATCCCCGCCGATTGGGACGAGCCCCGGCAGGTTGTCCCACTCCGCGTCGAGTGGGGCAAGCCCCGGCATGTCGTCCCAATCCGGGTCGAGTGGGGCGCCGCCATCGAGCAACCGCTGGAGGGCCGCCTCCAGCGCGTCGGCGGGCCAGCGGTCGTCGTCGCTGCCGCTGTCGCCGTCGCTGTAGCCATCGGCGGCCGGCAGGTGGGTTCGACTTGCCCTATAGGGCGGTCCGTTGCTGCCGCTGTCGCTGCCGCTGTAGCCATCGGCGGCCGGCAGGTGGGTTCGACTTGCCCTATAGGGCGGTCCGTTGCTGCCGCTGTCGCTGCCGCTGTAGCCATCGGCGGCCGGCAGGTGGGTTCGACTTGCCCTATAGGGCGGTCCGTTGCTGCCGCTGTCGCTGCCTGCGGCCTGTATCGCCATTCGCGGTACGCGCAGGGTGGCTCGACTTTGATCCCTATAAGGGCGGTCTGTCGCTGCCGCCGCGCCATCGATGCGGCGGCTAGTGTGGGGGTGACAAAATGTAAGCGGTGTAGCGTCAACGCACCCTGCGGTTGCTCGGATTGTGCGGTGGCGCGAATGAAGGCGCCTGTCTGGCGGCGGCCAGCGTCAAGGAGCGACGACGAGGAGTGTTGCGGGGCACCGGAGTCGGTGCGCTGGGGCGCCTGGACAGCGGTGCGTTGGGCTGGCCATGTCTAGACAAATGCACGCTTTACTGAGGGCAATTTTATAGCGTACACAAACCAATGTGTGTATAAAAAGGTAAAACTATGTTCGAAGCATACGTTCAGCCTATAGAACAAAATATCGTTCGCACTTGACGTGAACGATTGCAGAGTGAGACGCTGCTGTCCGACGGCGCGTGCAGTAGATTACGTGCGTCTCTGGGCAAACAGGTGACGTTTGATCGCCCGGTACAACTCGTGCTTTAAGAGAAAAAACAGATATGTGGAACTCCATCCGATACTAGATAGCCAATACTATAGCGATACTAGAAACGTGGCTACGCCACGCAAGATTGCCCACTGAACGACAAGCCCGCTGGTCACTCGCAGCCAATCTAAGGACGCCGGTTCAGGCTCCGCTCCAGCAGGCTCTACGGTGTGGTATGTGGCGCGACCGTGCACCGTTTCCGTAGGTAGTGACAGGTTGCGCTGGATAGGCCCCTCACGCCGATATGTTAGATAAGAAGGTGACGGATAAATAAGCACGAAACTCAGAAAATGAGAATACTCCTCTCACGACTATTTGCTATTGCGGCGGTTCGTGTTTATAGAAAATAAAAGCCCAGTTGAAAAAAAAAGTTTCTAGTTATCGGAAAACGCATCCATAAAAGCCGGCGCCATGAGTGAATATACTCAGGCTCCTCCAAAGAAATGAATAGACTCGCGGTGTAAACCTATAGCTCTGTTGGGTTTACTATGTATAATATACTGTAAACAGTTAGAGAATAGAAACTAGACATTGTGGCATTACATATAATTCTATACTAATTATGACGTGTACTGATATTGACTATTGTATTAATCGATACGTCAATCAATGTAGCAATGTTGATTTGCAAGTTAACCAGTAACACAAGGGTTAAACTGTCCAGTTCAATTTAATACTGGCACTAAATCAGTAATTAGACCTAATGATGTAATTAGTAATGTAGATCGACAGTGCTCGAAATAAGCGGTTGTCCGGTTGTCCGAGACAACCAGAATTTGCACGGTACAACCTAACCAGTGCTTGAGACATTGTCGGTGGACAACCGAAGAACCCTAATCTCTAACCCTTACACTAAATCTAAACGCGACTCGGCCTATCTTAGATATAATTGCCGTGTACCCCCAATTAAGGTCTATGTGTATTAACCTTTGCTTTGCAATATTTTCTGCATCTGAACTGCAATACAATCCATGCAACCAACTGGTATACTGGTAGCTGCAGCAATAATGTTCAGTTTCATACTTCAAAATTCCGAGTGTTTTCTAGCTCATCAAGAAATCTTAATCGTGATTAAATCGTGAAATAAATATAAAAATATTGGACCCAGCTGCTATTGTCCTAAACTTGGTATTAATATCCAATATGTCAGGTTTTTCTGATTATGAGAGGTGAACAATCGATTGGAAACCAGCAAACCATCATTAAGTGTTCCAAAATTTTCTGGGGGAGAACCCACATACCCCGGGGGCGTGGGGTTTTTTCTAATACCCCCCCCTCCTTGAATCCTAAACCCGCCACTGAACAATGGAAATTACATTTTATTTTGGGAGCAGAGAACAAGAAGCAAAGAATTTCGCATTTTTTCGCATGGCGTGCCAAACAAAGATTCGCAGAGCTGAGAGTAGGGGAGGCGCTAGGTGTGGAGAGGGAGGCGGAGGAGCCAGTGAAATATTAATCACTCCCACTATTTTGCGCAGGTTCGCGTTTTGGCCCCCTTGTTAAAAAATATGCTACGCCACTGGTTTTTGGGTGTTTTTTGATTATGCGTGTCTGGAGTGTTGGGTGTGGACGTGGATTATGCTAGTTGGTGTTTGCATTATTTATGTATTGGAAAAATCAGTGAAATTATGTGGGAATTTGTTTTTTGGGGACACACCAAAAATTGTTGCGGACGGACAACCACATTTTTTTTCTTATTTCGAGCACTGAATGAGTAATGTGGTTTAGCTTTTTTTAGGTACCGGTACCCACCCACCTATGACTTTGTAGAATGAAGCTGAACGAACCATCGGCATCGTTACGTAGTACACTGTACAGTACTTGTACTTGTAGATCATCATTGCCATGGCATTGACGTTGTGCTGTAGGCCTACTACCTAGTGTAAACATGTGATGTTTATTTATCAATATCAATCACATAAATTGATAAAACTAAAAGTAAAACTAAAGTAAAGATCAAAATTGTATACGTAACTTTAGTCTTTATCGGCACATGCATAAGTTATAACTATAACTATTAAACTAAGTATGAGGGTTCGTGTAGCAAGTATAGCAACAGTAGATAAACTACGTCTTTTAACACAGAGAACGTTAGTAAATACACGCAAAAATTGAAAACAACAAAACCACACAAAGACGTTTATGGCGCCAACTTGTGAGTCTGACGTTATCAACACTAGCGCCACCGCTACACAACACCTGTCCATATTTCTGTTACCGTAGCAACAAAATACTGTATAACTACGCAGGAAAACTGATGTGTACAATTTACATAAAACCCTAAGGAAACATTGGCGGTAAATATAATTCAATTACAATGTAGTGTTCTGTGGTATTTAATATAACTAGTTAGCACTTAATTAAAAACACACTGTAAAGACAAACTGTTAATAGTCATTCTTGTTTACATCGAACTGTATTCTGCGAATGATTGACCGAAAGGTGGTACTTTGGTGATTAATTCCTTACCTGTATACAAAGCTCACTGGAAGTGTAAGACTAAGAGACAGGTGCATGAAACACGTAATGAAAGATGACGGATGATAATATCGAAGACTGTATAAGTAAAAAATATACAATCAAGAAGCGACTGGGAAAAGGGGTAAGTGTACTAGCTCCCGCCGGAAGATAGATGTAGATTATTTGCGAGGATTGAAAGGCTGGCTGACAATGAATGTCAATGGATGGACAAACAAAGAATCGCTAAACAATAAAACAAGTCAACTCAAAGTTATTCAGTGACGTATGCATGAAAACAGAAAATGTTAGGCCTGTATAACGTACATGCTGATAACTTGTGTGTGTGTGTTTACTTAATTTAGGCATATGGAATTGTGTGGAAAGCCGTGGACAAGCGAACAGGAGAAGTAGTGGCTGTAAAGAAAATATTTGATGCCTTTCGAAATAGGACCGATGCTCAAGTAAATATAATATTAATATTAAAAATAAGTTTATTTTCTAGTTTTACCATTCATTTATGTATATTATCAATATGCAATATCATATTAATACAGATATTAATGTCAACATTAGACCGGGTACCCTGTGCACTTGGTTGTAATTATTTATACCACCAAAAAGAGTCAAAAGCAGAAGGTGTTCTAAACAAACAACATAACATGCATCTACTTGCACCCGTATGGGCCGGTGAATGCTGCCACAGACACGTACAGGCTTGTGTCAGTTGTGACAGCATTTTCAGGGCTATATGGATCAAACTACCAATATCCACCTAAATTAGTCCTAGGTTACTGTAGCAGATAAGGTCTATGTCTTCCTGGGTACTGCCGGAACGTACCCTGGGTACGGTCCGGTATATCGGAACGTACCCTGGGTACGGTCCGGTATATCGGAACGTACCCTGATAACTATCTGATATGGTTAGGGAGTAGGCGTAGGCGACTCCCTAGACTCGTTAGATATTATACTATACTTATACTCGGCATATTAGATAGTTACCAGGGTACGTTCCGGTATATACCGGACCGAACCCAGAGTATGCTCCGACAGTACCCAGGGAGACATAGACCCTCTCAGCGTTCCTGTAGCGATATAGACTCTGTTTTTCCACATCACGTAATGCATTGTTTAACGTGGAACAATGAGTATTGTGCTATATGTCGCCTACTCTGAACCTATATATCTCTAAATTCTGTGATTAATGTATGTTTACTCACAGAGAACATTCCGGGAAATCAGCTTCCTACAGGAATTCTCCGATCACACAAATATTGTCAAATTGCACAGCGTGTTAAAGGCAGAAAATGATAAGGACATCTATCTCGTGTTTGAATATATGGGTAAGTATATTATAGCTGTCATTTGCATGCTCTATTCATAATAGCATGAACATATGTATTATAGATATATGCAGTGTACCTGTAGTATTCATGATAATAAATATTGATAAGTCGATATAAAATATAAGATCAATCTAACTAAATAATGTTATTGTGATGCATATTCTACACATATATATGACTATAATGATTACATCTTTGTTGATTTAAGTACTTACAATCTGTAAACATCGATTGAATGCAATAGCGAAGCCTTCATCACATTGATGTGACATTAACTGTATATTCATTAACGATAATTACCTAACATGGTCTAATTAGATCTATAGCTTCTTAACGTGATTGGTTTACTAGGCTGAGCTTTCCTATGGCGGCAGCTGTAACGACCCCAGTAATGGGAATTGAGAGGCATGATGAAAGCAATAGCCATATTAAGAGATCGATTATTATTTAAAGTGTGTGTGCACTAGACAGTTAGTGGCCGTACCGGTGGGTCCTCACGTGTACACAGGCTGCTATAGCATGATGAATCTTTCTTTAGTGTTACACATGCTTGTTAGCTCTACAGTGATCCACTGTTGTCTGTCTAGACGCACTAAAAAATGTCCGTTTTCGTGCTATGAACAGAGACGGACTTGCACAATGTGATAAAGAAAGGTGGTATACTGAAAGAGATCCACAAACGCTATATCATGTACCAGCTGTTCAGGGCAGTAAAGTATCTGCACTCAGGGAATGTGATCCACAGGGACAATAAGGTGAGAAGAAACTCTAATTAGAAACATGTGGGATGTAACTTCAGATTTAGGTTCACACTCACGAGTGAGTGTTGAGTAATCCATAGCTTGTCAGATTTAAGTACTACTGTTGTTAGCTCGTGTATAACCACAGTCAGTGTTGGTTAGTATCACCCCAGTACCTGTTGATTAGTGTAACGACAGTCACTGTTGGTTTGTGTAACAGTGTTGGCAGTACACTCATTTGCAAACCAAATTACGTTTAACTAATGGCCGTGTCACTATTTTAGCCGTCAAACATCTTGCTGGATGCTGACTGCACGGTGAAGCTGGCAGATTTCGGACTCGCGCGGTCACTAGCTCAGCTCGAGGATGACGAAGTAGACCCGTGCTTGACGGAGTACGTTGCCACCAGGTGGTATCGCGCTCCTGAGATCCTGCTCGGCTCTCACAGGTAGGTGGCGCTGTGGCAGCTAGGTCGCAGCGAGTAGCGTTTCGTTGCAGTGTTTGTTACGAGCCGATGAAGTCACGTTCCAGGAAGGAATGTCTTTGAATGGTCTGTGTGATCTGGTTCTAGGGGCGTCATCTTATGGCAAAATTACGGAACTGAATATAAACTCCACTTTCTAAATGAATCTATGTAAGTGAAATGTATAGTGGGTTTTTCCTTTAGTGTGATGTTTCGTTTAGTGATAAAATGCGTGATGCTATGGTGTATTTTCTCTCAGGTACACAAAGGGTGTCGATATGTGGTCATGTGGCTGCATACTAGGAGAGATGTTCCTGAGTAAGCCGGTTTTCGCAGGCAAATCAACCATCCATCAAATAGAGAAGATCATGACCAGTATACCCACTCCCTCTCCCACAGGTAAGGCAAGAAATTGATTGGGCACAAATCACCTGTGGACAGGTATGGGGTACTTAGTAGGTACCGTGATTGCGTGGCAATCAATTATTCTCGCCACATTGATAAGTACTGGTTGTGCCTTAATATACTCGCTGCAGCCACTGTTAATACTTAATGACTTCTATGTTAATTACACGTAGATTCATGTACAGGGCATGTTTAACACTGATGATACCACTGGGGAATTATTACTCCCTTGGTCTGTTGTCCTGTATAGGGTTTGAAATTCATAGTAATCTGGTAGTCTGAACCTATTGGTTTTACTCATGGATAGTACGATTATGACTGTTAGAAATTTCAAAATAAAAAATCGCTTACAATATTGAATGTATGACTAGCTATACCATGTGGTGAAGGTGAATATCGCACCCTAATAAAGGTAGCATCGTGGGTGTATTATTAGGAATATAATAAAATAATTAGGAGCGCATTATCCTAATCATGTGGTATCCTAATAATACACTCGTGATAACATGATGTGGCTACATCTGCGTCTACATTTATATCTACATCTGCGTCTGCTTATACTGTGCAATGTGTATTCATTTTTCGTGAGTGTACAGTGTACTTATGTAGCCCACTGAACAGTCTGTAGCAAATATATGATGACCATTGCATTCCAGATGTGATGTGCATAGGATCTTCATATGGTGCTTCTGTTGTGGAGAAGGCAGCGAGAAAGTAAGTTATTCAATAAAGATTTGTGTCTATAAATGTCACTGAGATTAACGTGATTAAATTTACCCAGGTAGGTGAGTATGTCCTTGCTTATGTTTTTTGCAATCATTTTGTGGTTGTTTTAATTTATGTGTATACGATCATCCCATAGTGTTCACCTGTGCTTTCAAGGGATCCCAGTGTGGTATAATTGCATTACATACCAAAAGGTGCCAAAATTTAATTTCACATGATTGGATTCAATTACTACAGTTAACACAGTGAAAAACGGGGGGAAGGTGTTCATGTTAGCCGACCCCAGTGTAGGTTACGTGATGGAAATTTCAGCAAAAACTGTGCAACAGTACTCACATGACTTCAACTACACTCTCTGGGCTCATGAACGCTATAGATTTGTATTGATCAGACGTAAAACACGAGTGCCATATATAATACAACGCCTATTGATTCTCCTTGCACAATTCTGGTAGGCAAGCCTGCCCTCTCAAAAACTTGCTTAGCAATACCCGAAACTGTAAATGAATAAAGAAAGTCGAAGTGAAAGGTTTTATTGATTGATCCTAGGCTGTACCCAGTAATTTAGGAGCTTGCGTGCTGGCACACATTGGGTGATGCATACTATCATTGAGTATGTGCGACAACGATTGCTTATTAGCAGGTTTACTTAATGGGTTACTCCCCTGCATGTGCTAACTCCCTACATAGTCACGCAATGCCTATCAATGACCTCTGCAACTCACAAAGGTCGTGATTGGCCATTTTGAATTAGTTACTAGTCATATATTCGTAAAGAACTGTGCTAGTGGATGACAATTTTACATTTTAGATGCGCATTTCCTCGTATATCTTTGTAAAATATGTAGAATTTCAGGGAAAGTCGTCTGATACGGAAGGATAACATTACTCAAGCTTTCAGAGTGATTTTCAGTTTTGAGGCAACATAAAAACTGGCTATGCTACAGTAAGGTTACGAGAAAGTCAGCGAGGCAGTGTAAGAAAGTAACACTAGGCACAGCTTAAGACAGAAATCTGTGATCATTAGTGCGAACGTTACTAAACAAAACAACGACGTGTCGCTGCTTGCAGGCCAAAGAAGCCGCTGGATGAGTTGCTAGGCAACGTGCCGGCAGACGCGCTGGACCTCGTGCAGAAGCTGCTGGTGTTTAACCCGGACAAGCGCCTGACGGCAGAGGAGTGCCTTGCTCACCCGTTCGTCGCCAAGTAGGTAGCACTAGTACAAGTAGAACACGGGTAGTGGTGAGTGGTGAGGTGTGCAGTGAGGAGTGGTGTTTAATTTGACATTGAATAGCACTTGTCTATTGTATCTACTGTGAGCGTAATATACGCTTATTATTCACCTTGTTTCTGCTGACTAGTGTAATAGCGTTTTCACCAATGATCAGGTGTGTGAAACAGCCTGTACTGCTTGCTGGCCGTTAACTGAGCACACATCCCCACTGTGTCCCGCCTCTGCAAATATTTAATAGATTCAGCAATCAATTGACTGCGGCTTGCAGGTTTCACAAGCCGAGCGATGAACCCATTGTTGGCTACAACGTGCTGCCACCTATCAGCGATCACCTGCAGCTATCAGTGTCAGAGTACCGGGGCAAGTTGTACGAGGTATGTAGCAGTCAGAGAAACTAATGGTTGCAGCTGCTATGAGCGTGGAGTAAAAAATTGTTATAGGTGTAAATAAAATGTTTAGTGCACTATGGAGAGGTTATAGATTCTGTATAGTTGGAGGGAATGTTAATTCACACAGGGGATGAAATCATGAATAATGACCTAGTCAACTTTAGGACCTAGTCATATCGACCTCCATGCTTGTACACACCTTTCTCCTAATCCCCCAACTTTCTCTGCATGCCTCACAAATCCTTAGAATCAAGTCTCACATGACGAGCCGAAACAAACAATCAAGCGAAAAGTGTTGAACCAAGAGATGCATGTTCACTTGTTTGCAGTTCATCAGACAGAGGCGAACGCGTCAGCGTCGGCAGAAGCTTAAGCAGACGCATCCGTCCACCTCCTCCGGCAGTCCCACCCCGCGCACGCCCAGCAACGCGCGCACAGCGCCACCTGCCGACAGCCAGAGAAGAGAATCACTGAAGGTGAGCAGAGGTCATGCTGCCCAGCAGAGTTTGGCCATCAGTGGCGAGTTGCATCGTTGCTTACGTCGTTTGTCTTTTCCACAGCTTCTCTCTATAAATCTATCGATAAATTCAACGACGGCCCTCCTTTGCGTTTGCCATCATTGACAACATGGCCTTCCATGATTTCTCTCTAAGTGAGACCTTGCTGTTGATTCCGCAGGCTATCGCATCCAACGCGACCGGTGAAGGTGATGCACCCTCGGCCGTGGCGAGAGTGAAGGGATCTCATGTTGCCTGGGCGAAGGACACGGGTGTCATACCCAACCACAGGAGGTCCAGACCTGTGTCTGCCGCCATCACGGCATACGTAAGCGCGCGCTGTCACGCGTAAAAACACGTGGGCATCCACTTCCTCTAGATGATGTCTTCAGACAGAGATGTCTGTGTTTGCATGCACAAGTGCTTCTAAATACGTGGGTTTCAACCCATAATTCACGTCACCTTGTCACTTTTTGCAAGTCGCTGAGCTATTTTCTGTACCTCGCTTTTTCTCTCTTCTTCATTCACCAACGAGACACGTTCATACGGTTTAGTTGACTAGGTTACAGGTTTAACGAGCGTAAGGCGATAGTAGACCACCGAGCTAGTCGCATCTGCATTCCCATGTCAGTAGATAACAACACTCGTGAGTTAGTCCCATAGTTCGGACCACCGCCAATATCTCCCCCTGCACTATAAGCAAGAGGAGTAGACAGTGGCAGTGGGGTCAGCAAATGTTATAAGAGCTATATAAAGCTTCTGTTGACACCAGGGTGGCAGTCCCGTGGCAGTAGATAACTACACTA